GCCATGAACCAAATCAATCAGAGATGATTGACAACATTACAAACTTTGATTTGGAACAAAAAAGTATTTAAATGAGGAAATGTAATGAGGGAAATAACTACAATTTTTATGAAACATTGCGAAATACATACTATAAACTGAAAACAAGAAAAATATTAAACTATTGATTTAAAGATACAAGAAAAATATTAAACTATTGATTTAAAGATTGAAACAATATATTTTGTGTTTATTACAAAATATACATATTATGCATATAGAAATATTTAAGAGTCTAGGGAATGTTTGGGAGCCTAGGGAAACTGACTCTACGTAATTTGCAATGCTTAATGGGAGTGAGGGAGTGAAACTGCTTTACTGCAGCATTATGTGTACTTAATATTATTATTAATAATATAATATTATATTATATCTTAATATTATATGTGTTCCTGTGGCTCAGTGGTAGAGCATTGTGTTAGCAGTGCAAAAGGTTGTGGGTTCAATTCCCAGGGAGCACACATACTGGTAAAAAAAATGTATAGCCTGAATGCACTGTAAGTCGCTTTGGATAAAAACGTCTGCTAAATGCATAAATTATTTAATTGTTATTTATTTATTAATATCTTCCTGAGTAATCTGGGCTCATAATGGCTGATAAGGGTAAGGTACCTGTTTTTTTGCACTTGATTACATTACTATTTTATATTAATTGGCCTAATGACTTAATTCATCCATGTTTGTAGTCAGTAGTTTTACTCTGTTCAATCTTTTCATTCTAACAGTTTCTTCCCCTTGTCAATCACTGGTCTACCTGGAGTAGTCACTCACTCTATCAGTGAGAGGTAACATGTTTTGCTTTATAAACCATGATCTTGATCCAAGATCTTGGTTTCTTTAAAAAAAAAAAAAGACTGAGTGACAGACACAGTGTGGGAAAATTCCAAAGTAGATTTCAGATACAGCTTCATTTTTTAAATGTAATATTATCTGCATATTGATACACTTTCCTGCAAAGTCTTGCAATTCATGGATACTCTTTGGTGGACTATGATTGCTGGCTGCAAATTACCAGGCAAACATGTTCTTCTCCTCAACAATCCCAAAGAAACAGAAATGTATAATGAAATATACAGCAAAAGCATTTCTTCAAATGTCAGCATAATAAAACCTCAGTTTCATCATCATGAAATTATTGACCGTGTTCATGCGCAACATGTTCTGTGTGCAACATTTATATATTGCCACTGAATGTAGTTTGACTGAGGGGAAGAATAGATACAGTAAGAGACTGAACTGAGATTATACTCATAACAGTACATATATAACTCCAGAGAGATCCTTACAAAGCAGTCATTAAATATTTTCAGGTTAAGGTTTTCACTTATATTTACATGTTTGAGATAAAGAATTATATTTACATGTTTGAGATGCAATTTTATTTGTTACATGTTGATGACTTCAGTAGGCCTACCTGCTTATTTGGGTCTGGAATTGCTCCAGAATGGGAGGAGAAGCATTGAACCGTGGGAAGAGGAAAGAGAACGAGAGAGAGAAAGAAAGAAAGAGACGCATTCTTGAGAGAGCAGTGAAATTGTACCCAGGGTATAGTGGACTTCAGTTCCATTGAAAGTTTATTAGCCAAAAAATGGACTACATGAAGTGTTATTTCTACAACACTTCTGTTCTTTAATTAGTTCACTTTTTATTTCATGGTGACAAAACATGTTGAGTTTGCTTTCCTCCTTTATTTTATTCCTCTTTCACTCTCTCAGATGAACAGGAAAGTATGAGAGTAGTCTAAGACGCAGGTGTTCACACAGTGAATTAATACTAAAAACTTCCCACACACACTTCCCATTGATCAGTGGATGGTTGGACAACCGTCTTGTCTTTTTAGCATTCTCTCTTCTAATGTTTATGGTTCCTGCACCTTCAGGAAATTACCCTTTTATAGGGTCAACACAATAAAAGACCTTTGGTTTTTTTTCTAGTTGGGAGTGGTTAGTGGGTTGGTGTTTGTGAATGTGTGTATATGTGTGTATGTGACTTTTTGTGAGAGAGAGAAAGAGACATTTTAGGTGGGGGAGGCAGTGCTTGTAGTGTTGTTTAATCTCCTACCCGTCCTGTTTGACATTTTAGGTGGGGGTAGTAGTGTTTAATCTACTAGCTATCTTTTGCGGCCAAAGAAAAAGACCTGAAGAGGTTAATTGGCTCCTCATCCAATATATGGATGCACATTGCTGTGAACTCTCTGACCCTTCTTGTCAATAGGAGGCCTTTTCCTCTCTGACTTGATGAATGTGTGTTTCTATGGGAGTGCACTGCAGAGTACAATTTTTGGGGAACAAAAAGAGAAGTTATGGCAAATTATATATCTCAGATAATTCAACCTCTCATAACAATGAGAGCCCTACATTTTTTATTTCTACTGTCTTCTAGCATTTAGCACAGTTTGCTGGTTAAGTTAAACAAGTCAGTAGGGAGGTGGGTCATTGTGTGGGAGGGAGGTGAGGGTGTAAGCTGACAAATTACTGACAAAAAACAAAAACCACAGGCTGTTATGAAAGCACGTTGACAAGGGAGGAAGGTCTGGTCTAAATATATAGACTGGTGACAAATGAGTTCTAATGGTTGATTTTCTACTCTAGCATGTACACATACACAGCCAAATTCAGAACAGAGGCAGAACAAAACATACCAGTGCAACATCTAAACATAATATCCACCTTTAAATCTAACACCCAAAATATAAGCTGGTAACAGTGGGAAAATACTTCAAGACACTTTCCATTCCATTGCCATTCCGTGCTAGAGCAGCAATGTGTTAAGTAATGTATTTTACAATATTGTGTACATTTGATCTTTATTTGGGCTATTTTATTAGTCAGCTACTAGTAATGTGCATAATGTACATAAAGGGGTATAAGGAGAGAAATACTTATTTTTTTGGTGAAAAAGAGAGTTTTGTTTTTGTGGGATTACATTTAATGTCACAAGCATTTGCTTTTATTAGTCATAACTGACTGCTTGTGTGATAAAGAACGAGAATGGGAGACGATCATGGATGCAGTGATGGGAGAAGGAAGCTGAAGAAACAAGGATTACTGAAAATAATTAAAAAAAATTAAAAAGTAAAGATAAAATAAATGAAAACTGCAAAGAAACAACGTTGTAAAAATCTTGGAACAATAGAGTAATGGTTTAATTTTTATTGTAATAAATTTAACCTTTAAAATGGATATTATATATAACGTAAAACAAGTATTTTTCATTGGCATTTTTTATTGATACAAGTTCATTATTTGAAGTGATTAAAATAATTGAAAGACATTTTAGAAATTCTACTCCTTTTATGTCAAGTTGAAAGGAATTTAAAAGACTATCTAGTAGTTCCAATTGAATTTTACTTGAATTAATCAGTAGCTTAAATAGAATAGAGTAAAATGAGAGCCCACTGAATAAACTCAAACGAGTATTTGAAAAGGGATGTATCACAAAAAGAACATAAATGTGACTAATTACATTAAACTTCTCTACCATCTTGAAATGTTTAAGGTTAAATATCAAATAAATAAATAAATAGTTGCTGTTTAATACATGAGTAAATGCACTCGTTGAACCGTGATGGTCAAAATGACTTATAATTAATTTTTTCATGCTGTTCTCATACTGCACTGCTACAACAACAATCTACAACAACAAAAAAGCTATTTTTAAAAGCAATCCATGAGCTTTGCAGCCGTTAAATGATCATTTATGTGATTCGTCCCTTGAATGTAAAGCGCGTTCATTATGCCAGCGGGAACGTGGGCTGTGTGACAATCAACGCAGAGGTTAGTTAGGGGAACACAAACCTATCTTTGTTCACTCTGGTCAGGAAAAAAAACGGATTATTTGCTCGGCTTTTCATCTGCCTTGTGCGGAATACATTATGTGTGTAAATGTTGTTGAACCCCGGCTATTCTCAGCGAAAAGGTCACACACTCCCCTCGACCCAACCCCTTCCATGGGCTTTGTATCCACACTCAAGTGAAAAAACGTCCTATGCCTATAAACTTCACATTTAAAGGCAAGTGCAGTCGTAAGGCACTGTTGCTGTGGGGAAACAATAGTGTTTTTGGACACGTTTTCTAGCAGAGACTAACGGCAACAGAGCCTGCTTGTGCAAGACGGTTCTTTGGCAACTGCTTTAATGCTCATCATTTATAATACCACTCTCTATTAATCATCTGAAATACTGTTCGTTTTTTTTTTTTTACATAATATAATGTACTCGGAAGCTACATTGAGCGCATCTGCTTTTTTTATTTTTTATTTATTTGTTTACTTTTTTTACATTGTCCTTATTCATTTATTACACGTAAACGGGCATGGGCGCAACCAAGTGAAGGCAGCTTTTAAATTCTAAATGGTTAGTGGTAGCTCATACGTTTTTTATTGTAGACTAATAAATGTGTGTGTGTGTGTGTGTGTGCGTGCGTGCGTGTGTGTGTGTGTGTGTGTGTGTGTGTACCTACTTAACCATATTTTGTGGACAAATTTGCACCCAAAAGTGAGCTAAACCTGACAAAATCTCCAAAAACCTCCCTTTGGGGACGTCCTCATTTGTAAAACTGGTATTTAAATAAAGTAAACAACGTTTTTTTTTAATTGTAAAAATGCAGAAAGTTTCCTGTGAGGGGTAGGTTTAGGTGTAGGGCGATAGAAAATACAGTTTGTACAGTATAAAAACCATTACGCCTATGGAATGTACCCATTTAGATAGCTAAGTAAACGTGTGTGTGTGTGTGTGTGTGTGTGTGTAGCATTAAAATGCTGACATTTATGATCAACCTTATGCAATTGTCACTATACCAAATCTAGTAATAGGCCTACATAAACGGTCATTTGCCACTAAACATTTAATAGATGTGTAACTGCTTTTAGAGGGTGCAAGGAACATCTAAAGTGTTTTAGACCATTAGCTTAAGCATAACTTATTAAACAACTAAACAAATGTGAAAAGTGTTGTAACTCACGCTCTGAGGCCATGGTGATGACGGACTCGGTAGTGGCGTGATACTCATCGGCGTCCATGAAATCCTCTAGGGAGGATGCGTCCCCCTGGAAGTCGTGATGGTCCAGAAGCTGCTGCAGCGGAGGTGCTTTGGGAAGAAGCTGATTAACCACCTCTCTGCTGATGTTGGGCGCTTGTTTTAACCGCAGTTTGCTAAGGATTTGGGATTTGATTGTTTCCAGCCGTAAGACTTTACTCTGTTCTCTCCAAACGCACGCGGAACACTCAGGAGAGTCCATATCCTCCAGATCAAAGAGAGAGACTCCAGCATCCGAGGACATCTCACTCAGTGGAGCCTGAAAGAGGTCCGGCTCATCGCTCCCGGACAGTCCCAAAGAAATAAGAATCGTTAAGCACAATAAAAAGTTAAACCTTGTCATGATGTTAAATGGTCAGTACCAAAGGTTTAACTATTGGCTTTGCAAGATACCGTGGTTCTTATCTTGATAATATTTATTCGAGCAACGAATTATCTAAAAAAAAAAAGAAATTAAGACGTTTTAGCAGAATATATATTCCATTTTAAACGGACAAAGCGACGGGAATAATCGAATTATTTTAAAGTACGTTCCTTTTTGCATTTCAGTTTGTGTTTTCAAGTCCTTTTATCAACTGCTTCACTGTCGGAAAATACTTTAGCATGTCTTTTTCATCTGTACAAATGCGTCTATAAAGCCCCCTTTATATATCACTGCTGCCTAGTGGCGTAATCCGTCTCTATTGGCTAACATTTCAACAAAAGGCTCACAGGTTTGTCACTAAATCTAGAGAGAGAGAGAGAGAGATTTTATTGTTTATATTCTGACACCGCACCACAAAATGTAAATTTAGCTATAGAGGACGTAACTTTTCATTGCATATTGTATAGTTTATAGGCTGCTTTAGCTCTAATGTAATCAATAGTTACCTCATGCAAGAGCGCTATTTGCCGGTTAGATTCTTGTTTTCAGTAGATATAGGCATCACTTTCTCTGAAATTACTATGTAAATAAATGTCTAAGCATTTCTTTAGTACGTTGCCTTTTTTTAATTGGTCATAAATACGATCACCTACTTTTACAAGGATTTTTCCTATGCTCGCCTAAATATGAGAGAGCATACTAATATCAAGCTTTAAATTGGAAACAGTGCGAACTAATCGGCTTTTGGACAAATCATCGTTTGATTTGGGAACATAGACGTTTGCCGAAGGCTTTAGACCAAGCAGAATCCTCTGCCTGCTGGTCACTTGCGTTGGCTTTGCAGCTAGCAGTACTCAAGCAAGCAGATACCCATTTTCACCGCCCGCGTTTTGACAACAAATAACTTTGGGTAAACGCACAGAACTTGACTATTATTCAAGAGCTAAATAGACAGCCATGCATTAGCGCGACTATCCGCTTATTAAGTATGTCACGCGTACTGGGTCCAAACGCTCTATCACACGCCAGAAGCAAACAACAGTGCTAATACTTTTTTTACATATATATTTTTTTCCTCTTACTGTTTTACATTACTGTAGTCTAGAATAACTCTTCTTCTGAGCTAGGGGTTTCCTCTTAAAACTCTAATAAATTACTATCCGTACTGATCCTGTTTTTCTTTAGTTGCATTACATTTTTGTTATTTTGCACCTGCATTAAGGAGTAGGCTACTAAATGAGTAATTTTATGGTTTATCTTTGTGCGCCCTCTGGAGGGGAAAACCCAGAATTGGAGCGTTGCTTTACTTTCTGTGCAAAGTATCATTTGTTTAAACTGCTTAATATGTCTCTGCGGTTCTTCCCACGGCTGTGCAGAGCACTGATGTCTGAGAGCGTCTAAAGAACGATCTTTATTACATTGTCCTTATTCATTTATTACACGTAAACGGGCATGGGCGCAACCAAGTGAAGGCAGCTTTTAGATTCTAAATGGTTAGTGTTAGCTCTTACGTTTTTTATTGTAGGCTAATAAATATATATATGTGTGTGTGTGTGTGTGTGTGCGTGTGTGTGTGTGTGTGTGTGTGTGTGTATTTTTTTCAGCAGGGATACCAAATCTAGTAATAGGCCTACATAAACGGTCATTTGCCACTAAACATTTAATAGATGTGTAACTGCTTTTAAAGGGTGCAAGGAACATCTAAAGTGTTTTAGACCATTAGCTTAAGCATAACGTATTAAACAACTAAACTAATGTGAAAAGTGTTGTAACTCACGCTCTGAGGCCATGGTGATGACGGACTCGGTAGTGGCGTGATACTCATCGGCGTCCATGAAATCCTCTAGGGAGGATGCGTCCCCCTGGAAGTCGTGATGGTCCAGAAGCTGCTGCAGCGGAGGTGCTTTGGGAAGAAGCTTATTAACCACCTCTCTGCTGATGTTGGGCACTTGTTTTAAGCACAGTTTGCTAAGGATTTGTGATTTGATTGTTTCCGGCCGTAAGACTTTATTCTGTTCTCTCAAAACGCACGCGGAACACTCAGGAGAGTCCACATCCTTCAGATCAAAGAGAGAGACTCCAGCATCCGAGGACATCTCACTCAGTGGAGCCTGAAAGAGGTCTGGCTCATTGCTCCCGGACAGTCCCAAAGAAATAAGAACCGTTAAGCACAATAAAAAGTTATACCTTGTCATGATGTTATTAAATGGTCAGTACCAAAGGTTTTCCTCTTGGCTTTGCAAGATACCGTGCGTGGTTCTTATGTTGATAATACTTATTCGAGCAACGAATTATCTAAAAAATAAATTAAGACGTTTTAGCAAAATATATATTCCATTTTAAACGGACAAAGCGACGGGAATAATCGAATTATTTTAAAGTACGTTCCTTTTTGCATTTCAGTTTCTGTTTTCAAGTCCTTTTATCAGCTATCTGCTTCACTGTCGGAAAATGCTTTAGCATGTCTTTTTCATCTGTACAAATGCGTCTATAAAGCTTTATATATCACTGCTGCCTAGTGGCGTAATCCGTCTCTATTGGCTAACATTTCAACAAAAGGCTCACAGGTTTGTCACTAAACTTTTTTTAATTGGTCATAAATACGATTACCTACTTTTACAAGTATTTTTCCTATGCTCACCTAAATATGAGAGAGCATATGAATATCAAGCTTTAAATTGGAAACAGTGAGAACTAATCGGCTTTTGGACAAATCATCGTTTGATTTGGGAACATAGACGTTTGCCGAAGGCTTTAAGACCAAGCAGAATCCTCTGCCTGCCGGTCACTTGAGTTGGCTTTGCAGCTAGCAGGACTCAAGCAAGCAGATACCCCTTTTCACCGCCCGCGTTTTGACAACAAATAACTTTGGGTAAACGCACAGAACTTGATTATATTCAAGAGCTAAATAGCCAGCTATGCATTAGCGCGACTATCCGCCTGTTATGTCACGCGTACTGGGTCCAAACGCTCTATCACACGCCAGAAGCAAACAACAGTGCTAATACTTTTTTTACATACAATGTTTTTCCTCTTACTGTTTTACATTAATGTAGTCTCTAGAGTAACTCTTCTTCTGAGCTAGGGGTTTCCTCTTAAAACGCTAATACATTACTATCCGTACTGATCCTGTTTTTCTTTAGTTGCATTACATTTTTGTTATTTTGCACCTGCGTTAAGGAGTACTAAATTAATCATTTTATGGTTTATCTTTGTGCGCCCTCTGGAGGGGACGACCCAGAATTGGAGCGTTACTTTACTTTCTGTGCAAAGCATCATTTGTTTAAACTGCTTAATAAGACATGTCTCTGCAGTTCTTCCCACGGCTGTGCAGAGCACTGATGTCTGAGAGTGTCTAAAGAGCAATCTTTATTAAACTAAAGAAATCTTTATTGAACTGAGAAATTTAAATCATGCAGATCTGGTGTCAGGAGCAGTATCCACACCCAGTGAAAAACATTTTATGTTTTGTCTAGCTGTTTTGTGGATCAAAAGGACAAAGCTTGGCTTGGGTGAGTGCCCGACTGTATGCTGTCAATAGGGAGAGCAGTATCCTGTATAGAATATACTGTATACTGTCAATGGGAACAGTAGAATCCTATATAGAATATACAGAGGAGCTTGATTTTGTATACTGTCAAAGAACAGTATATAAACTAGACTCACCAACCAACCAAGCATCCCTCCTACAAATTTTGAAACTAATGAAATATACATTTGGAAATAATTGTGTAGACATACAAAGCTTTATCGCTCCCTCCCAGGCTGTAAACTAATTTATAGCATGATGTAACTTGGGGTCCAGTATAAATAAATCTAAACCTGGTCAAACACCTATGGATTGAATTGTATTCTGTTTTATTTCGGAAAAGAATAAATAGCACAATATTAACTGTATGTGTTTAAAGGTATAGCACTGTTGTTACTGTCACGCCCATGGACTGTTTTGTGTTTGTTTTCCTCCCCCACATGCTCCATGTTTTCCCTGTGACCTAGTTTCTCCCTCGTATTAATCGTATTCATCGATTCCAGGTGTTTCTTGTTAATTTCCTTGTTTAGTTCCTAGCATTTAAGCCTGGTGTTTTCCTCTGTCCTGGGTCTAGTGTTATACGTCTATTCCACTGCTACGTGTGTGTGTATCTCTTGTTAATTAAAGATTGTTCTTTGACTATCTTTAATTAACAAATGTCTCAGCGTAAATGTCTCCGTGTCTCCTCGCTGAGTGGGAGTGGGAATCAAATCACAGCACAGTCGGACAAATACAACATTTAGAGCAAACGGAAATTGGAATTGGGAATAACTCAATACAAACTATTAACTCATAATTGTAACAAAACTCAAAGGGTAGACAGCACGACAACCAAACGAGCGCTATCAGAGAAGGGAAAAAAAACATGCGCTTTCGTCTTGCATCATTTCCGAGTCCTTATAGTAGGCCGAGGGTGTCTGGTTCTGAAAGTGGAATTGTCATCATGTTGACAATGAAGATCAACCGGGCTGACGTCCGATCACATGCCCTGAAAGTTGTAACAATCAACACCACAAGGTAGATGGAAAAATAAAACATCTCACAACCTTGTTATACTTATTTGAAGATGTCTAAAATGTGTATCCTCTTATCTCTGGAGGACAGTTTAAAAACTGATTATTTGCAGATGTGAATTGTGTTGAATGAATGCGAGACCACCTACACTGACTTAAACTACATTGACTTAAACAAAAAAAGAAATGTCCCTGAACTATAAACAATTATTGCACATGCACCTGTGGAACAGTCCTTAAGATACTAACAGTTTACAGGCAGTAGACAATAAAGGTCACAGTTACAATAACAGCATATTAAAGAGACCTTTCTACTGACTCTGAATGACACCTGAAAAGTTCTGAAAAAAACAATCCTCAGAGTTTGGAAACATTGTCAGAACAGAAGGAAGCAAGTTTTCTTCCAGGACAACCTTGTATGTGGCTTGATTCATACG